CCCCAAAACCCCAAAACCCCAAAACCCCATGATTGGTCATTAAGATTGAAATTGAAAATATTTTAGGGATGATTAATCAGACTTATTGTTTTTGGGGTTCTTGGTCTTTCAAGTTTTCTTTACAGTCTTTGGTTTAGTTTTCTTGGTTTTCCCTGACCGTACAACTTTAGAGCTGAAATTAAGGTACTTAGACTAACCTTGTTCCTGTCTTTGTCTTTTTAGGAGTAGTTTTAGGCTTTTTATTTTTCTTTTTAATTGCTTCATCTATCATTCTACCTGCAAATTCTTCTCTACATTGGAAGTTTAGATTTCCCATTCAAAATAAAACGAGTTAAATTGAGATTAATGAAAGTTACTCTTCTAATTCAAGAAGCTGATGAAATATTATTGGCTTGACAGCCATGATATTGAGGTTGAATTTGTTGATTTCTTCATGAGCAAGATCTAATTTGACCATGATCACATAATCTCCTGGCGGAAATGCATTCTTTGGCTTTACTGCAAAGCTTTGGTTGATTTTAGAGTTGGCAACATCAATAATTTCTGCTTTATCTATAATTTGAGATAGAAAAAGAAACCTGTATGAATTTTAGCAATGACAAAATGGGTTGGAGACACTTTATATCTGAAAGTTCGTGGGAATAGGAATCTTTGAATTTGGACTATTTTAAATTGCACTTTGTCTTCTTCTTCAAGAAAGATACGGACAAATCATCTCCCTCCAGGAGGATGACTGAGCTCAATATTATTAAATTGTAGCTCGGGATGGTAGAATCATATTGTAGTTTTGTAAAAGAATGAGCAATAATCGTTGAAAGAGATATAAAATTCTCCTTTATCAGCTTTATTGAAGCCAACAAATTCTTTGATTTCATCTGTCCATAGCTCACTGTCTTTACTCCAATCTCCTTTCCAAGTTGATATTTTTGGATTATTTAATTTTAAGTATTTTATGGTCTTCTTCAAGCCCAAATCGATCTTTGTCGATAATGAATGAATCCAGCAAACAATATGCGTGTGCAAAGTTAAGGCCAGCTTCCTTGCATTCCTTATTTCCTATCCTCCTTCTTTACATTCTTGCCAGTGGCTCAGGTAGCCACTAGTGCACTTTTGGATGATTTTATTTTTGATCCTTTGACCTTTTTATTTACAATATTTCCCAGCGGATGAACGGCTTGAAATCTTCTTCCAAGTTTTGCCCATCTCAGCTTTGCTGTCTCCATAATGGTCAAAGTACTTGACTTGGTAGGGAAGCAAGAATTGGTAAGCGATAGTAGCAGTACCTCTGATAATATCTTCATAACTACCATTTATCTTGGCAAATGCTTTCTCCAACAAAATTGCCCAGATATTGTTAGTATAAGTGGAACAGAAGGCAATCTTCTCCTTATTTTATATTATATGGAACATAGTCGTCGATCACTAGATTTGAAACAGGAGATCTTACTGATAACTTCGTATTTTCCATTCACTAGGAGCTTGATCGAAAAGATTTTTGGCTTCTCTTCAAAATCCCTAAATTTTAGATATAAATTACATTAAGCCATATTCTCTGGAATCAGTGAACAGAATATCGAACAGCTCTTCCTTTGCATTGGTGGCGATAGAGGCGAGAACAGCAAGGAAATAGCAATCTCCAAGCTGGCCTTGCTTGACATCTTGAGCTCCAACATTCTCATCGATCACTATAGAGATAACTTAAGTAAAATTACCTTGATAATCTGAATCAAAAATCTCGCTGAGTCTTCTCCATTCGATTTCTTCTTTCCATCTCTGAGTCTTAGCTTCTGACAGCATGTTCTATGACAATAAAATCTGATGTGAGAAAATATGAGAGCTGAGCTAAGATCTCCTTTAATCAAAGACATAGATGTATAAAGAATGGAGTAACCTCTCTTGGGACAAATAGAGCAGGAGAGAGGAATTCACGAAATATTAAAGTTATGATATACTTCCAATCTTGACAGTGGATAGTATTATTTATGGATTAAGGGATTAATTTTGTATCAAACCTCTAGAGATTGGATCAGATATTCAAGAATAGGTATTAAAATTGTAGAGTCTGATTTAAAATACTTCAAACGAAAGAAGCTCACTAGCTAAAATATACTAATCGCATTGGAAAGCCTACCTTATATTCAACTTCTTCATCAAGAGTTTCATCATGCCACTTGTTGTCAACAGCAAATAGTGAGCTATCATCTGGAGGAAAGTAGGGATCCGTATCTAATCCATCCTCAATTGGAAGTAGGATTGTGTTTATTCGGTCTAAACTAGGGTATTGCTCCATTATTTCTCTGGGAAGAATATATTATTTATTAATGATATTTTAGTCAAAGAGGGGTTTTGGGGTTTTGGGGTTTTGGGGTTTTGGGG